CCCGCACCAACACCGGGACCGCCACACGGCGCGGCGGCGGCGGCGGGGCGTGCGTACCCAGCTCCAGTGATTTGTCCTGCCGCTGTCTCTTGCACTTGTACCTGCGATTCTGGAACCAGATTTTCACTTGCGTGGATGTGAGTTTCAGGCTGCTGGCGAGGTGCTCGCGCTCAGGCGCCGACAGGTACCGCTGCTGCTTGAACCTGCGCTCCAGCTCGAACACTTGGGCTTGGGAGAAGAGGACGCGGGGCTTCCGGCGGCTTCGCGGCTTGGGCCTCTCGCTGTCCTCCGCCGCCTTCCCGTCTCCAGCTGTCTCTAGAGGCTTCTTCAGCGGGCAGCTTTCTGCGGGAGAAGCAAAACAGCGTCCATTAGCCAATCCCGGCCTCGCTGTGGCCCCTTTTGGTGGTGGAAGTGTGGAACATGCGGTGGAAAATTCCTGGACTTTTTGGAAAGTTTGTGGCTCCCGATGCCCATGGGATCCCCACAGCCCGAGTACCCAAAGAACGCCCTCAGCGGGCGGAGACACATTCCTAAGGGAGGGAGTAGTGTGCGTTTATTAAAATTTGAGCATCATCTGTGAGCAAAGAGATTACTCTGTATTAAATGTGCGACTCGACGTGCTAATGACTATTTTAAGGATGAAAGCTTGCGACTGCATAACTACAATATTTGCAAGCTCATTTGCCTTCTATTCCACCACGAGTAGCTAAATGTATGGGAGGTATCGTATGGCGATCAGTGTCCATGGGTTGCACAAATCTGTTTCTGTTTGGAAATGGCTGACTATATCGCTTGTGCATTGCCCAGGGACTGATGTTTGGCTTATAAAAGACTACATGCAAAAGTGTGAGTGGCAATATCTGTGTTACCTTAGAAAAAAAGTTTTACTAATCTTAGCTTTATGTCAATTTTAGGGTGTTTTAGGGTGGAGGAGGTAGGTGTGAGAGCACAAGCCTTGGCCTCTGCCACATCAAACCTCTTCTTGGGATGAAATTCTTTGGTTTTATCTCCTCAAAAACAATTCCTTGGGGCTTTATTAAGTTATCTGATCTCCCTTCCTAACTCACCTCCTGTCCTCAGGGGCCAATACATCGCACTAAATTGGGCACATTCTCTGTTAGGCCTGCAGCCTGAGACACAAAGCCAAACATTTACGAATATTCAAAAAAGGCCAGCGCCTCAGGCATGTGAGAGCTACGGTCATGCAGAACAGACAGTGTTCCCACACACTCCAAGACCATCCTCTCTGGCGGGTGCCCTGAGTATGAGAACCCCGAACTTTCAGCAGAGAAGGAAACCACACAGCTGGTCTCTGTCTACCCTGAGGATGAGATCTTTGGAGGCACAACCTGCTTTAGCTGCCTTTTTGGAGAAGAGGGGTGGCTACCCTGACCTCAGAGAAGCCACGTTGAAGGAAAAGTGAAAACACAGTCAAGCTCCTCCCCATTTTGGAGGAATAGCCCTTTTTTGGGTGAGGGGGAGCAAGATAGTATGAGCTGTTAGCACCCAGCAGCTGAGCCCATGTCACTTAACCAGCATCAAGGCAGCGACTTTTCCTTCTGGAGGGGCTGCAACTTGTCGCTGCTCTGGTGAGGACAGTTGTCAGAGTCACCTCGCTTTTCTCCCTGCCCCAGCTCCTTTGCAGGTACCTGCGTTTTGCAGAGCAGTCGTTGAGGAGGCAGAGGCGGGACCCCAGCCAAAGGTTAAGGTGGGGGGTATCCCATTCTGGCCAAGTTTGTGGGCACCGCATTGTTGCCCCACGTTCCAGGTGTACGGTGCGTTTCCTTCCCCCCTCTACTCACTTTGGCTTCGGTCCCTCACAACCTCCTCTTCATGCTCTTTGGCCACGCTGCACGAGTCTCGAAGGACCGTGTGGACATAGCTCTGCGGACAGAGCCCCGAATCTCCGTGGCCATCAGCTGCGGCTAGTGAGTTCAAATAGGACAATTTCTCGCCCTCTTCTTCCTCGTCCTCCTCTCCTCCTTCAGAAAACTGTGTCCCCTCGGTTGCGGCCAGCATGCAAGGCGCCGAGTGGAAATGGTGTTCCAAGTCCGTCTGCAAATGAGCGCCGTGGAAATGCTGCTGCTGTTCCAGATTCAGAATATCTTTGACTGAGAAAGGGGTGGAGGTGACCGGGCTTGGTAACATCATCGGGGCCACTTAATTGTCCAGTCCAAATACTCAATAAATCCCGGCGGGGGCGGGGAGGTAGCGCGGCTGCTGCAGTTCTCCTCCTGGACTCTGCCGCTGCTGCGGAGTCGGGCTTTTGACAGACGCGGTCCTGCTCCAGTCTAAATCGCCTCCATTGGCCAGGACCTGGGGGTCTGGGTTTTGTTACCGCCACTGCAGGGACTGGGGCCCGGGCCGCGAAGCCTCTGTCCGGGGACCTTGCGTCACGCCGGGGGCGGGGCCCGCATCCTGGCCTTCTTCCCCATTGGTTCTGGCTCTTATGGGCCACGCCCCCGGAGTCCAAAGGGTAGGATGTTGCGCAGCTACCAGAAATAGACAAGGAGTTCCATAGGGTTTGGTAAGTCCAGTTGCTGTAGGACAGGCTGCACTGATCCAGTGTCCGAACTACCAGTTTCCGCTCCACCTGGCTGCACCTTCCCGACTGGGGCCAGTTCAAAGAGGTTCCCTATCCATGCACCAAAGTCCAGGAAGGATACCACAGGAGTAGTTTTTCCAGTTGCTGCGGGGGCAGGAAAGCTTCCTGCTGGTCAATACCTGGCACTGTACCCACAAGGAGACTGTTTTACCTATGGATGAGCGACGCGTCCTTTTCCGCCTTGTTGCCTTTGCTCAAACTGTTCACTCCTTCTGGAATGTCTTTTCCGTCTTTGTCTGGTTTCCAAGAGTGGCGAGCTGTTCTCCAAGACTCTACTCCAATACCACCTCCTCCAAGGAAGCTCTCCCTGATCGCCTAGCCAGAAGTCCTTTATCCAGCTTCTGAACTTGGCAGCTACTGTTAGCAAAGGACAGTCCTATCACTTATCACCTCCCACTTAGTTCTTTAGCTGTGTGTGCCTTCCTGATTGCCCCCATTAGACTATGAGCTCTCTGATGATAGGGTCCAGGTTGCATTTGCCCTTGCAGGGTCTGTACCTAGCAGGTATGTGAAACGCAGGATGATGGAGTTTTTACTATGTTTTGCTGTTCTCGACTGCTCTTGTTTGGGATCCTGCCCCAAATCTTGGGCATTTCTCATTTATTCAGTTTCCTATGCAAAGTAGGCAGCAATACCCTCTTCGGGGTTGTTGCTTTGGTTAAATAAGCCAAAACATGCCAGTGCGTGGTGGTGTGCATAGTAAGTGCTCAGTACACATCAGGTGCACTGCTATTCTGTATCAGTGGTCAGTGCAGTTTGTTGACTGCATTGGTGATGTGGCTGGAGTGCTGTACACCTGGGGTTTTGGGAGCAGGATCTGCCCTCAGAAGGGAGGGGAGGAGTCATGTCTGCCATCTTTTCCGCTTATTGAATTCTGGAGCCTGGGTCTGGGCCTTGACTCTTTTATTTGCCTTTCTAATTTTTCTATCCATATACTTTCTTGTGACACTCTGGTTGTTTCTGGGGTCCCCAAAGATTCTGCCTGTTGGAAACTGCTTGTTGGGAACCATCTTCTTCCTGCACAGTGGGCATTCACCTGCTACCAAGATAGCCCAGTAAGTAGCAGCAAGCCCTGCTGTGAGACCTTGGGTACCTCTGGCCTTGAAAAAAAGTAGGAAAAGTTCCAGTCTGACTATGGTGTCCCTTGTGTGGCTGCCCCAAACATCTTTTTCTTTTGCTCCTGGAATGGGAAAATTGTAAGAAAACAATCTCAGCTGGAAGAGATGGGTGGAAGTTGCAGGGACTGTGCCCTGGAGGAAGCGGAAGACACTAGTATGAATAGGGAGAAAAGTGGAGAGCTGCCCTTCAAAACCCTGCAACCGGCCAGAGGACTTGATGTCCGAGGCCCAGGAGAGAAACAACAGCTTGTCGGGAGGGAGGAGGCGGGGCTCTTCTGGAGAGAGCGGAAATGTTTCGGGGAGGCAACCCTAGGGCCAGCCCGGGGAGTTGGGACTCCTGGCGGACCACGTGCGTCGCGGAGAGTACCCTTAGGGTAGCTGTGACCTGCTGTCTGTGGGAAAAGACGTCTGTGGACAAGGGCCTTGCTCCGGAACAACCATCCCTCAACCACAGGGGCGCCCAATGCTTTTCTGCTTTAAATCCTGAAACTATTGACGCCTCAGGCGGAGGATAGTGTTTACAAATCAGGCCGGAGTCTGCAGAGAGAAGAATGCCCTCGGTTTGGCTGCGGACCCCAGGCTCGGGCACAAAGATCCAGACAGAGGTGGGGGTGAGTGCGCGGCACTTCAGAGAGGGGGGCTTTGAGTGTGTGTGCGCGCGCTCTAGCCTCACTCCCTTTCCCCCCACCCCAGGGCAAAACTGCTGCGGGGAAATATTTCTGCTCCCTCTTGTCCTCAGTTTTCTTTGCCTCTTAGGTGACTTCAAGATTTGGACAAAAGAAAAATGACTGAAACTACTGAAACTAGCCTTCTTTCTTTTCCTAGTTTTCAACAGAAACTGCGTTTCTGCATGCTGCAGCCTTGCTTCTCCGCTGCGCTTCGCTCCTAGGCCTTACTTAAAGCTAGTCTGAAGAACCCAGGTCTTAGAACCCGACCGGGACAAAGCGCCCCTCCAGCCCCGAACGCAGTGACACGCCCACGCACCCGCTGCAGCAGCCAGAGCCCACCCGAGCGCTGTTTCTGCACACGCGGAGAGCTGTTTTCTTCCCCCCCGCCCCCACCC